TGAATCCCAGCCTGGGCTATATAGTGAGTTCAAGTCCACTGTGAACTACATAGTGAGACCTTGTCTTACAAAACAAACTAACAACAAACAAAAACAACCAAGATCAAGAAAATCCTACTTCATCATTCATTTCACAAGTGTTTCACGGTCTTCAAGGTACTGGTCCTGTGTCAGGTAAAATTCCAGGACCCGCTTTCCTTCCCTACTTCATTTCACTCTTAACTTGTTGCCCATACATAAATGCATTTGCTCCTACATAAACTAAACTATGAGTTTGGGGTGCTTATTTGTCTTAGTCACTTTCCTCTTTGCTGGGACAGAGTACCTGACACCCACGACTTGAAGGAGGAAAGATTTGATTTGGCTCACGGTTTGTAAAGGTTTCAGTCCCTAGTTGGCTGGCTTCAAGGCAGGTGGGCATGGCACGCGGGATTATGGAGGAGTGGATGTTTATGGCATGGCAGTGGGGAGGCAGAGTGAGTGAAGAGAGAGGCCAGGGAGGGAGATAGGCCTTTCCCGCCACTCCTCAAGTGACCTGCCACCTTCAACAAGGCACCACTTCCCAGCATCACGTTTAGCTATAAACTCATCACTGGACTAGTGCACTGATGAGGATCCCCACTTCCATGACACAGTCTCCTCCCCCAAGTCCCACCTACGAGTACATGAGACTTTATGGGGACACCTAGATATACACCACAGCATGCCTCATCTTTACACTCCTGGTAGTACTTAGAAGACTTGGTAAATAACAATGAAATAGTTTAGAAATTGAAGCATAATCAAAGGATAGTAACAGACTTTAAAAAATCATACAAGAAAGCAGGACTGATTTTTCCTGCTCTCTTTTATACTACTTTCTCTTTTTCTTTTTTTGGTTTTTTGAGACAGGGTCTCACTGAATAGTTCAGCCTGCCCCTAAACTCACTATGTAGCCCAGGCTGGCCTTGAACTTGTGACAATCCTCCTGTCTCAGCCTCTGAGTGTTGGGATTACAGGCGTGTGCCTCCATGCCCGGCTTCTAATTTTGTTCTTTGAAAAATGTTTTCTTCTGGAGATTATATCTTAACTATTCAAGGTAAGTCATGTTTCTTTAAAATTTGCAAAGCAAAGTGAAGATGGATAGCCAAATTTTTATTTTACCAAGGATCTTATTTCAAATTAACACTTGATATTTTTTACTGCCGTGGAATAGGTTTTATTCTGGCTTTAACTTTATTTTATTTTTTATTTTGGCCACTCTGATTTGCTTCTCCCTACCTCTTAATTCTGTTCAGGATAGTTTATGGATGTGACTCACTTCTTCAATGAGAAATCCTGTATTTGTATAAAAGACAGCCCGCTAATTGTCCACAGACTGTGTATAGTGGGGACTTAGATATACACACTGGGCTTTCTAAGAGGCACCTCAAACTTAACAGGCATAACTAGCTTCCCAATTCTTCCACCATACTCCGCTTGAACACTCCTCCCATGTTCTTCTGCATCTTAGAAATGACAATTCTACTCATTTACTTCCTTAAATCTCAAACCCTGGGGTCATTCTTGGCTCTTCTGTGTCTCTGCTCTCCTTCATTGAATAGGCACAGGAACAAAGAACAGAAGCAGGAAGGCACACTAGGGAGAAAGAAATGCAGGTGGGCGATAAGATGGCTTAGGCCAGGGCAGAGGCAGTGTGGGTGATTTCACCGGGAAAGATTCCTTCAAACGACCATTCTTTCAAAATCTCTCCAGAATCTGTCTACTTCAAATTACCTACACTGCCTCTACCCTGGCCTAAACCACGTCATGATCACCTGGCTTACGAGTCTCTCTAGTTCTGTTCACGGTCCCTGCACCTATTTTCAATATAGCAGTCAGAAAGATTCTATTAAAATGTAAGTCAAATTCTACCACTTTTCTGCTCACACTCCTGCAATAGTTTCCTGCATCTTGCAGAATAAAAAGCAAGACTCTTTACAATGGTCCTCAAGGCTCTAGATTGGATCTGACTTTCTGGCTTCTTCTTTCCTTCTCCCTCTTGCTTACTGTGACCTCAGCTGCAGTGTTCTTTCTGGACATACTAAAGATTCTTCTGCTTTAGAGCTTTTACAGTCTCTGTCTTTGCTTCTCTCAGAAATACACATCTCCAATCTTCATGTCACTTAGGATAGTTGTGAAGTGTTCACTTATCACAGAGACTTTCCTCCATCACCTTACAGCATTCTTCATCACTCTCTCACCCTCTTTCCATGCTGTATTTGTCCTCACAGCACTTATCACCACACCACTAACATTGTTTATTGTCTGTCTCCATTCTAGAAAGTTCCTTGCGGAAACAAAATATTAATTGGGCCTGGGGATTTAGCTCAGCGGCACAGCGTCTGCCTGGCAAGCACAAGGTCGTGAGTTCAATTCCCGGTACTGAAAGAAAAGCAAAAAAAAAAAACAAAAAAAAACAAAGAAAAAAAAATTATTGAAGGTCTATAATATACCAGGTCCTTTTCTAGCAGTGGGGATATAAAGTCAACAAAAGAAATAGAAATTTCCTTATGGAATGTTTATTCCAGTATTATATAAATTGCTATATTTACTCAGTAAATATTTGAATAATGTATTGAATAGGTAGAGGATGCATTTAGCAGACTAACAAGAATGGTAGAAAAGAAAGAGAAACTTAGATTAGCTCATCTCCTTTTAACTCAGTGTTGCATTTGCCATATCTAAAAAAAAAAAAAAAAACAGTCCTGAATTCTCCAAGGTGAAAGGCTGACAATCTTAAGAAATCCCAGGGCCCTCATACATTCTGTACCCCTAACCTCAGGGCACTCTTGGATACTTTCAGGCTGTACTGAAGAATGACAAATACCTACACTGCACGAAACACTTGGCACTGGCACAAGTAACTAGAGTCTGGTGATTGCCTGGAGTATTAGATTAGGACAGACGTAGATAAGAAGTGCTAAAAATTAATAAGACAGGCTTTAGGCTTCACTAGAGAGAAAAATTGTTTCCTATCAAAACAGAATAATACTAGTATTAGACATGGTGGTAGCCAGATCCAGATAAAGTGGTTTGCAAAAGATGGGAAAATTGTCTTCATAAGGAGACAACACGGTGGCTAAATGAAGAGGTAAATCTTAAAGACATTTAGACTTTCCACGTGGAAAGGGAAGGAAGACCACGCCCACTGTCCAAGGTGACATTGCTCTTACCACCTCCTCCGCAGCAATCATGAAGCAGCATGAAGATTTGCTGGTATTGAGAATAGCCAGAGAGGAAGAGTCAAATTCGGAAAGACTTACATGCATCAGAGGGTGAGATGATGAGAAGAAAGGTCAATAATTCTCAGTTCCCAGATTCGAACTAGCCAGAAGACTTTCAAGAAACTTGGATGTAAAATGTCTGTTGAAGAGAAGGGCCCCACTGGCTAAGTTCTCCATTCAAAGACTCAATGCTACTGCCATCTCCACTCATTAAAAGCCCTGCCCACCATATTGTTATGTCTCATTTTAATTACAGGGTCTGTACCATGAGTTCTATATTTTTCAGAGCTCATCGAGTTTTACTTGTCCTTACAGATGAAGCCTTGGCCCCATTTCTCTGTCTGTCTGCCTGTCTGTCTGTCTGTCTCTCTCTCTCTTGGCCTCTGCTGTCTCTATCACACACACACACACACACACACACACACACACACACACACACATTTCTCTGTTTCTCTCACATGGTGCTGGGGATTGAAACCACAGCCTTCTCTCTTTTTTATTTTGAGACAGGGTCTCTCTAAGTTGCTAACTTACCCAGGTTGGGATCAAATTTGCAATCTTCCTGCCTCAGCTCCCCAGAGTATTGGGAGTACAGGTGTGTGCCACCATGCTTGGCTAACATTTTTCAATAGCTGCCACCTACTAGAACTTAATTGGCTTTTTCTCACATTGACAAATGACAGCTAAAAATCTCATTTTCATCTTTATAAAATCATACTGCTGTGTAACCCTCTCCAGATACATGCCATTGGCAGATGTACCCAGACACATGCTGTCTTTGAATCCAGATGACTTCGCAGCAGCCCAGAGCTATGCATTCTATAAACAACTGTGCCAAAAGAGTAGCATTCTACGAACTGACAGAGCAACACTGAAATAGGGTGATTGAAAGACCCTGCCCTGGAGCTAGCTGAACACTTCTCATGCTACACAAAGTGCATTCCTATTTAATTCAAAGCTATTACACCCATCATAGGAATGGTTACCATCGGTGCCTAGCTGAAGGATCAGTCAACACAAGCAACTTACATTCCAAAAACTAACAACCAGCCAAATACTTGGCCAGCTTTTTGGGTTCTACAAAGATAAATGAGTTCTTGCCCTCAAGGAACTTACAGACTAGATCTAGATTTAGACACAGCACCAGATATCAATTGATATGATTATCATTGACGTTAACACATTATGTAAGTGCCAGCATGCCAATACTCTCTGCCAATTCTGAAAATAGGACCAAATCCTCTTCACTGCCCTAAGAGATGTGGGATATCACCAGGAGAAATTAGGCCCTTATGGAGGGTGGTACCAAGGCTACCACGGCACTGAGATATATTAAGACAGGAAGGAAGGTGTCTGCAGTTGGAACAGGGAGGATTCTCATTTAGTTTGCTCTGCGTCAAAGGACTGATTGGTAGGTTAGGATAGAGAAATCTTCCGTGATCTTGGGAATGTAGTCAATATATAAGATGATAAAGGGTATTTTTTCTTTTGCAGTAGTGGGGATTGAACTCAGAGACTTATGCACTCTATGCAAGTGTTCTATCAGAAGCTATAACCCTACCCACTCCCCCTCCCAATTTGTTTTTCTTTTGGGGACAGGGTCTTAGTTGTCCAGGTTGGCCTCAAATTTGTGATCCTCCTCCCTCAGCCTCTTCAACAGGTAGAACTGCGAGCATCAGCTACCATACCTAGCAAAGAAGGATATTTTTATTAAAAGATAACTCAAGTGTTAAAAGATTACCCATGTAGACTTACCATCTACTCCTTCACTGCTTTTGCTTCTTTTGTTGCGGTGAACACGACTGCTTTCCTCCTCAGAATACGACTTTTCATTAGGGAAGAAGAAATTCAGCAAGGCCATCTGTAAAAATAACAAGTACATGAGCCAAAGGTCGACCCTAGCCACACACAGACACCAGAAAAAAAATACTTTTCAAAAGATAGTCTCCCTTCACCATAAATTCAGTGTGGTTAAAGCCTGAGTCTATACTCCCCTTCACTATGAAGTTCTTCATATCATTATTATGCTAAACATGTTGGTATGAAACATTGGTTAATCTCTGAATGCAATCTCTTCTGTCCTGACCGTCTCATGGATAGTCCATTAGGTCACATTTGTCCATAAATTTCTAGGGTTCAGAGAGCCTAGCCACAAATTTCTCACTTCCCTCCCATAATAATGACATCCACCCAGAACGCGCCTGGATTTTGCTACTCTCCCATAAACTTCATTATTAGATACCTGTAATTTTGCCACCTTCTAACTTATACTGTACTCCATGGCTTCTTCGAGAGTGCTGCACATCCAATACTGAGGTACCACATATGTCAGTGCTCTGCTGAGAGTCATAACAAAGCTCACAGCTAACGCACACAGTTACGATCTCCCTTTCCCAGACTCCTACAAAACCTGAGGTTTGTAGACTCATTTTGATTAGATTAAAAAGTTGATTACTTTTCCTATATTCTTCAATAGTTTTTAAGGAAATACTACCCTTTGATGCTGCGTGTTCCGTTTTTGGAACACCACATAACAGTGGAAGCTAATCAAATGTTTTCTCTTCAAATTCTGTTGTTTGAAATTTTCTAGGGAACATAGATGAATTCATACAAAACATTCAAAAATTGCAACCTTTGGCATAAATGAGTTATGCTTGCTTATCTTCAGCTATTCTCAGACAATAATATATCTGAATAAAATATGGGTTTTTGTTAAAAAGATAAAAGACTCATTTTGATATTTGGTCCTCTACTGTCTCCTAATCATTTCTTAGAATACAGTGTGTTTCATATATGAATGGGTGTACTTTTACTAATGATAATTATAGTGAATCATAGCTGAATTGAATCATACTCTTTCAGCATGAGTGCTTCATTGGTGTAAAACATGCACTTGAGGTAAACAGTAGAAAGAGTAGTAGGTGTAAGGGTGATTCTCATCCCCATCTTACCCCTTACTATCCGTGTAACCTTGGACAAGTTACTCAAGTTTTAATTTACTCATCTGAAAACAGGGCTAATAATAGTTCTTTTCTCATAAAGCTGCTGTAGGGCTAGCACGGTAGGCAGCATACAACACATGCTCAGTAAATGTCAGCTATTACAATTAAAAATTATTTTCGAAATAGATCGCTTAGTTTGGAACTTACAATAGAGCAAATGAATCTGCATTTTTTGGTAAGGTTAGTTCAAAAAATAACAGTCCCGGAGGTTTTAAGGCTGATGCATTTTTTAGTGGTTGGGAAAAAATAAGCTGGACCCAAGAAGGCCCTAACATTCCAAACAAACTTTCTTCACAGCCCCTGTGGTTTATTTAGTGTTTATATGGGACAATTACACCTAATAGCCTTAAGGTGCAAGATTCGCAACTTGCAGAATACAGTCATTTATGAAACATTAAATTAATAAATCAATGCATACTTAATCTCTCAACAATAGGATTGCATTTAAAACTTATTTAGTTTGAACCATATGGATGTGTCACTTTCATAGGTCAAAATTGGCTGAATATTAGCAATTTCACATGATTCAACTGAATAGTGTCCTTGAATAACTTGATTGGATGTATAATGCATTTTCCCATAGAAACAACATAATAAAGTCTGGCTTGGTCCATAGGAAAGTTATATAACTTACATATCAATAAGCTAATATATGAATTATAGTATGAAACAACACTATTATTTACAATGAAATCTGAATCATTTACAACTTGGTAAGTCATACTAGATGGACAAATTTTTCTTGATATTTTTGAGTGCTGAAACTTACTGCAGCTATTTTGGATAGAAATTAATCTTAATTCAGGGCTTAATGAATATGTAAAAGACTATTTGCTTGTACAGGAAATATCTCCATCCAATATAATTTTGAGATTTTTATTATGACATTGGTTTGCTAGAGAGGAGCTTAGGATTGTATAAGAGGAATAGGAGAAGCACCTATTACAGACTGGAAATAGATGAGGTTTGTTGGGAGAGGTGCTCTGGGTAAATACTGAAAGGTTTCAAGTATTTAGAGGTTAATGGTAACTGGAAATGGAATTCCAGAAAAAATGAGCATCATGTTTAAAGATTTACAGGAAAGAGAATTCAGGAGAGAACAACACTTTTTCTAACTACAAGTAGCTCAGGATAAGTGGCAGGGCATGGGGAGAAATGGTGAGAAATGAACCAAAGGTTGTTAAATATGTACTGGAATTAGATCGTGATAAGGAGTGTTTAAGAGTTTTGACTTCATCTTACAGCAAGGGATCCTGTAAATGTGTTTCTAAATTTTTGTACCTTATGAAAATTTGAGATACAATTTATATACAATAAAGTGCATAAATTTTAAGTATAAAATGAGACTTCACATATACATTTACCTTTGTAACTACCATCAAAATCTAGATAAAGAACATTTCCATAACCCAGAGTTTTTCCTTGTGCCCCTTCCAATCATTCTCCAATACCCACTTCCCCAAGGTAACTGTTATTCCAATTTCTATCAACACAGGTTTTCCCCATCCTAGACTATACTCATACAATATTTTTTATACATTTAAAAAGAATGATTTCAACATAATATCCACAAGACTCATTTTTACTGTTGCTTATATCATCAGTCCATTCCTTTCAACTACAGAGTAATATTTTATTATATGGGACTTCTTTTTAAGTGCATTCACCTTCTGATAGTCATTTGGGTTATTTCCAGCTTCCAGTTACTATGAATAAAGCTGATGTGAACGTTCACGTATAAGTGTTTGAACATGTTTTCACGGAAACACCTATGATTTGAACCTCTGGGTTATATGATATTGAGATAGCAGATGGGGCATAGCTTAGACTGGCTGGGAAGAGAGGTGTGGCAGGATCCCAGAATCTATGCAAAACCATCTCTCTAGGCCTTATATGTAGAAGTTCTTGGGGGTTCCCTCGAGGTGTGGATGGCATAAAAGGACACAAAAGCCATGAATAGCTCATTGCCATGGCTTTTCCTCACGGTATCGTGCCCTGTGTCCCTTAGGGTGTACTTTTATTTTTATTTTCTCCCTTCTTTTACTTGGCCCATGTTTGCTCTGCAGAGCATTTCTCCCTTACCCTTCACCCTTCAATTTTCAAATAAACTTGGCTATTTCTAAAGGACTTATCCAATAATCATATTGGTTATAAGAAAGTGCAAACTGTTTTCCAGAGTTATTGTACCATTTCACATGCCTACTAGCAATGTATGACCCATGGCTCTGCATTTTCACCAACATTTGCTATTATCAGCACTTTTAATTTTAGCTATTCTGGTTGCTGTGAATTAGTGTTTCATTTACCCCCAGTAACATCATTTCTGGTCTCTTCAAATTAGCTGATTATAATCACTAATTAGACCCATGAATAAACAGAATAAACAGATAGTGACTATCATTTCAAAACTTTTCCAATAAGCAAGGGAATATTCTCTGGTGGCTTAAAGATCATTTGTTTACTATTTATTCCTGGCTACAATATGGACACTGAATTTGTCATATAACCTAGTTCTACATAAGTAGGTTACTACAGTACAAAGTGATTCCTAGAGAAAAGGATACTCGGTCTTCTACTGTCTCATAATTTAAAAATACAAATAGAAGAGCTAAGCAGCAGAAGCCAACGACCATTACCAACTACAATTCCAGAGCTCCTATTATGGTTTGCACCTAGATGTCCCCGCAAAGCCTCATGTGGTCATAGTTTTTTTCAGAAGTGGTTGAATCTACAGTGTATGACTGATTTATAATGCAATGCTGGGGTTAAGTGTGCTGGGATGAAGAGTGGGTGATTATAAGATCAGTCCACTGATTGAATTGGCACCACCCTAATCCCAGTAGACTGGACATAAGGGACAGAAAGAGGCTTGTCTCACTTCTCTCTTATTGCTTTTGCTGTCTTCCACCACCATGAACAGTGTCCCTCTGCCATGTGCCACCCTGTTTTGGAGCCAGCCAATTATAGACTGAAACTAATAAACTGTGAGCTGAATAAAACTTCCCTCCTTTAACTCTGGGCATCAGGCATTTTGTGTCAGCAATGAGAAAAGTAACTAAGACAGTACCCTTCATATTCTTTGTGCTCCCTCATGAGGACACACCTATGGGAGGTCTGGCAGGGGTTCTTTTACCATCTGAAGGCCTACAGGTGGCAGTAGGAGAAGGTGCTCACAGATTAACTATTTCAAAGTGTCTGATGAGAGCTCGGGAGAAGAGGAGGGTGAAGGGAGAAAACAAACTTCTGCAGGGGCAGAAATAACTCCAGCATCTATGGGTAGTTGGAAATAGCTCCAAGTCCATCAAGAAAGGCAAGGCTGTTGTTATGTACAGTATATTGATGAATCAAGTGCTCATTAGAAAATGATGGCCTGTATATGAACATTCCTTGAACATTTTCTACTTTCTCAATAGAAATTAGAAAAAAATGCAAAACACTGCTTCAAGTGAAAGAGATTTTCTATTTACACTGCCTTTTGAGTCTCAGTTGGATAGGTAGGAAAACTGTCTTCTCTATAGCAAAGACTCTCTATAGTAAAGACAAAAATCAGTAGCAGCTCATACAAGAAATCTGGAATTCTAGCCTTAGTTTTGAATTTATTAGCATGGTCTCCAGAGGCAAGTAGCACAATATGAACAAAATAGTCTTCTCTTTTAAAATACTGCATTCCTAAAACGCACAAGGGAGGAGGCATCAGGAATGTTGGCCACAGCCAGGCATTTTGCTCAAGGGGGAAAAAAAATCTAATTCTTTACACTTTATTAAGTGATTACACCCTTGTTTCCTATGGTAAAATTACATGGTAAACAGCACCTGCAGATTATAGGGATCTCAGCTGGAAATAATTCGTTAACAGTGA